CTGGGGCTCCCCCTGGTCCTGGGGCTCCCCCTGGTCCTGGGGCTCCCCCTGGTCCTGGGGCTCCTCTGTTCCTGGGGCTCCCCGTGGTCCTGGGGCTCCTCCTGGTCCTGGGGCTCCCCCTGGTCCTGGGGCTCCTCCTGGTCCTGGGGCTCCCCCTGGTCCTGGGGCTCCCCCTGGTCCTGGGGCTCCCCGTGGTCCTGGGGCTCCTCCTGGTCCTGGGGCTCCCCCTGGTCCTGGGGCTCCTCCGTTCCTGGGGCTCCCCCGGTCCTGGGGCTCTGGGAGCAGGCTCCCCTTGAGCCTCTTGTCCTTGCTCATAGCTCATTGGTGTTTCTGGGGAGCAGGCTCCTCTGACACCTGAGCAGGAGTAGAGGGAGAAGAAGGGACAGGGACTCCCAGGGTCAGCCCTCAGTAGGGGCTGCTCGTGTCCTGGCCTGGCTGTTCGTCGTGCCCAGTGGTGGGTCGGCAGCCCACGCTCACCTCCTCACACAGCCTGCCGCCTGGGTGGCTCTAGAGTGGCCTGGTGCTCAGGGTCTGTCCTTCTGAGTGTCGCTACACTGGGTCTGCCCATCGGTTGTCCGGGGCCTTCTGCCCCTGGGGGCATCCCCCGTCCTTTCTTCCTTATTTTTTCTTTTGCCTCAAACTTGTGTCCTCCTGCCTTGGCCTGCGCCACCACTCCTACGTCATTTCTTCTTGGACCATGTGTCACGGGGCATCTTTTTGCTTAATTCCCAAATAAACATTCCTCCGTCCAGGAGAAGCAGCAGCGCTGGCCTCTCAGGTGCGACGCGGTGAGGTGTGTCTGTCCTACAGGGGCTCCTGCTCTTCCCGTGAGGACTCTTCTTCACGCACAGCAATCTCTGCTCCTTGCAGGGACTCAGACCCCTCACTCAGGGAAGGGCCCCTCTCCCTGAGTCCAATCCGCAGCCCCCTGGCCTCTGTGAGAGGTGGTGGTCTTGATTTTCCAGGTCTGAGCCTCACAGAAGTTGCTGTTCTCTGCAGGAGAGTCTGTCACAGATGGTCAGGCACCCACTGGACTGGCACTGGCACTCAGGAAGCTCAGAGACAGAGTGCATCTCTTGAACCTGCTGGTGACACATCTCAGAAAGAAGGTGAGATGGTCCTTTGACAGGCACGGCAGTCAGCTCTTCCTACGAGAGCCATTCAGCGGTGCAGGCCTGCTGACCCTGGAGTCCACTTGCCCTTTCTGTGCCTGTTTCCTTCTCAGCAAAGGGCTGGGGTGAGCAGCAGTGGCTGATCTCGTGTGCGGCTGTGGAAGGTGCCCAGGCGCGGTGGCACAGGCCTGTGGTCCCAGCAACTGGGGAGGCTGAGGCAGGAGGATCGCAATTCTAGGCCAGCCTAGCCACCTAGCGAGACCCTATCTCAAACAAAAAATGAAAAGGTCTGAGGACATAGCTCATGGCACAGCAGCCCTGGACTCCCTACCAGTGCCAAAAAAAAAAGGAAGAGCCGGGAGAGGGGAGAAGAGGTCTCAGCAGTGCGGCCAGAGGGACGCGCGGGCCCTGTGTGGGGTGGCCCTGGGTGAGGTGCACACTCACCACAGGGTCCTCAAGGCCGCCTGCCTGAGGCTCAGGCCAGCGCCTCCTTCCTCCCCCACCTCCTGTCCACCTCTTCTCAGCAGAGGCCTGAGTAGTGCTGCCATGTTGGTCACGTGTGGGTTTCTCTGGGGACGAGCATTTGGGGCTGGGGTATGCCTGAGTGGAGCAGCGGGGTCCGGGGCAGCTCCGTGTTCAGCACCCGCAGGACCCCTGCCCTGGCCCCCACACAGTCCAGCCCAGCAGGGAGGCTGTCTTCTGTCTTTCCACTCCGGTCACCTGGTGGGCATGAAGTGACGTCTAGTGAGGTGGTCACTCACATTTTCCTGGTGATGATGATGCTGACCACCTCTTCATGGGGTCCCTGGCCATCTGTGCACCTTTGGTGGAGAAATGTGTGTTTAGATCCATGGCTGTTATTAACTGGGTTCTTCGTCTTCGCTGTCAAGAGGCCAGAGTCCCCCACAGATACACCATCTGCTGCGCCTCCCCCATTCTGTCTTCACCTCTCACGGTGTCCAGAGCAGAAACGGTTCAGTTCTGATCAGGTCCAGGAGGGCCCGCCAGCCTGCGTCACCTGCAGCTCTTGCTGTGGCCTGTGACTTCAGTGGAACCCTCCGCCTACCTCTGCTGCTTTTGACTGACTGGTGGGGGGGGCCCACTGCTCTCAGCTGCTCGCAGTTTTGAGAGGTGTTTGTTTCTCCCTGGGGCTGGGGCTGGGGCTGGGGCTGGGAGGAGGGTTCCCATGCGTCACCACACAGACTCTCCCCACAGCACTGGGGCCAGCGCCGGGCAGGTGCGCTGGTGGTCATGTCCGCCTGCAGAGAAACTCGTCGCTCCTCTCTGCTCCCCTGCTGCCTTTTTAAAGTTGTTCTTTCTAGTTGTACGTGAGAGCAGAGTGTGTCTTGACGTCTCTCACACACGTGGACTGTGACTGCCCATTCTGTGGTCGTGTGGGACGTGGATCACGCTGTTGTGGCGCTGTAGGGAGCGATGTGCAGTTCACCCCACTGTCTTCCATCCCCTCCCCTGCCTTCTGTCCCTTCCCCCTTGTCTGGTCCAGTGGACTTGTGTTCTTCCCACGACTTACTGTGGGCTACGTCCACGTAGCAGGAGAGCACCCGGCCTCTGGTTTTTGGGATGGGCTTATTCCACTTACATGATGGTCCCCACTTTCCCCAGGTGCCTCTGAGGGTCCTTCTTCCTGTCCTTCTCCAGCCCCGGCACCCCCTGCCTTGTGCCTCACATTGCTTTGTGAAACGGCCTTCTAGGTGCAGCAGAAGCCCCTGGAGCTGGACACCGTCCACCACGAGCTTCCCCGTGAGGTGGGCCAGGTGCATGTGGAGGTGCTAGAGCTGCAGAAGCAGGTGGCTGAGCTGGAGGAACACCTTGGGACAGCCCGGCAGGAGGGAGAGCAGCCTCTAGGCGGGAGGCAGCTCAGGAGAGAGGTGGGTCCCTCCCGGCCCCCCACAAGCTGCCCCGCGCTCCTCCTGCGCTGCTGCCAAGGGAGCCCTTCCCTGTGGGCGCTCGGCCCACCTGGCTGGTCTGCCATGCAGGCTGCCTCTGTCCTTCCACCTCCTCCTCCTCCTCCTCTGTGAACTTGCTCCTGCCTCTGGTCCTCTCTGACTAGCTGCAGGCTGCTGCGGCACAGCCCACACCCCCTTCCACAGAGAGCTGCCCGCTTCCTCTGACAGCCTGGGCTGTCTGCTGAGAGGTGGGTGTTGTGTGGACGGGCTCGGCCCTGCCCATGGGAGGGGGCCTCTCAGGCACTCACCATAGCCTCTAGAGCCTTGGTGGCCGTCAGGTCTTAGCACCAAGTGCCTGCCCATCCTGTGATGGGTCAGCCTTACAGAGGACCTTGGGTCCTGACTCTGGCCCCTTTTCCTTACCTAAAGCTATGAGGGACTGGTGGGGAAGGCCAGACAGTCCCGCCTCCTCAGGGGTCCTCAGGCCCTGCCAGTAACCTGCAGTGCTGCCCCACAGTGACCTGCAATGACTTGTGGCCTTCAGTGGCCAGGCACGATGACACACACCTGTAATCCCAGCTACTTGGAAGGCTGGGCAGGAGGATTGTGAGTTTGGGGTAACCCTGGACAATTTAGCAAGACCCTGTCTCGAAATTTAAAAAAAAAAATTAAAGGCTGGGGATATTGCTCAGTTGTAGATATCCCTGCATTCAGTCCCCAGTACTGCCCCCCAAAAATCTCGTCAGTTATCTGCTGCAACTGTTGTGGTGACTTGTGGTCATCTTTAGTGACCTGGATGGCCTGTGGTTACCAAAGGTGACCTGTCAATCAACAGAAGGTTTTAGGGACATGAAGTAGTGTCTGGAAGGTACTCAGAGTCTTCTGGTAGAAGCCGAGGAGGTGAAGATAGTGGAGGTGTCCCCTTAGCACCAGGGACCCGAGAGGAAGATCAGCCCCAGGGCCTCTGGCAGGGGCTACCTAGGAACGGCCCGGAGAAGCCCAGCAGGGCTGAGCAGCAGAGCGCCCAGTGCCCAGCACCCAGAGCCCAGCCCTGCCTCCACAGTGCAGCAACACCAGGTTGACTCCCAGCCGCCGGGCACTTTGGGCCTTTGCCCCAGCCTGCCACAGCCCCTCCCAGGACAGCGCCTGCAGCCAGGCCTTAGCAGCCTTTATACCTGCTCCTCCTTCCCGTCTGCCCAGCGCGGAGGGGCAGAAAGCACACGCAGAAGCTGAACTGAGAGCCAAGGTACTGATCCAGGGTAGCAGCGGGCTGGAAGGCCCTGCCCCGCTCTCCCAGGGCAGGTGGCCTCAGAGTCTTGCACATAGCCGTGCAGGCAGACCCTGTGTGACAACGGAAGGCTTAGGAAGCACAGTGACCAGCACCCCCACAGATGCTGCTCGCTGCCTGCAGCACACCTGGGTGCCAGGCTCCCATTGCCAGGAGAGGGGAGGCAGGAAGGCAGTTCCTGGGCGGGCGCCACACAGGGCTGGAGTCACCTCCAACATGCAGAGGAGCAGTGGGAGGGGCCCCTGCTCCCAGGACCAAGGCTGCAGGGACAGTGCCCACTGGCACCAGCACAGACTGAGGCAGGGGGCTTCCTGCCACATCTGGCCCCATAGTGACAGGACAGACCACAGTTCACTGAACCAGCAGGCAGTCACCGGGCCACACGGGGCAGGCGAACAGGTGCGTGATGAGAGAGGAGCTGGCACCTCAAATCAGAACGTCACCAGCAAACGTGAAGGACCACACAGCCGGGTGACCCAGCGGGAGGCCAAGCCCACTGGGAATCCGGTCACCGCGTCTGGAGGCCAGGGACAGGACGCGTCTCCAGTGGAGAGGCCTCGGGGGCCCCAGCTCGACACAGCCTCCCCAGGGTCAGCACACAACAGTCCCACCTCAGGCAGGACGCCTAGGACTCGCAGTGAGCGAGCGGAGCCTGGGCACAAGGTGTCCTGGGCACTCAGGGAGGGAGGGCCTGCACTCCAGGTCAGTATCACCAGGGACCAGCCCTCCAACGCCCGGGTGTTCTGGGTCCCAGACAGGAGACTCGAGCCGGGAAGGGCCTGGTGGGAACACCGGTGGAGTCACACGTCCCCGTCCCTGTCAGAGAGCAGGGGCTGAAGGCCCCGGCGTGAGGTGGCCACGCTGCAAGGGCTCCATGTGCTCTCAGAGTGCTGGGAGGGGGGAGGCTCACGTGGAGGGTTAGGGTTAGGGTTAGAGTTAGGGCAGCACACAGCCGCCAGCCGCCAGGGGTCTCAAGCTGGCCACACTTCTCCCCCCTAGGCCCTGAGGCCCTGCCTCCTGCCCCCAGGGACCTGCACAGAGGGGCCAACCCTAGGACTCACCTAGGACTCAAGTGGCTTGCTTCCTGCCACAGGCTGCCCCGCCCTGTTCGGGTTTCCAGGGCAGCTCCAGGGGCTGTCCCTTGGTCCACTGGGGGGCAGTGTTGGCCACCTGGAGGCTCTGGTCAGCAGCCGGCTTGAAGGCCCTGCCACACCTGCAGGGGTCAGAGACACCAGTCACAGACACTGGAGGGGACGCCAGGGCCTGGGGTCCTCCTGCCCTCACGGGGCCTGGCCTCAGACCTCGGAGCCACAGGACTCTCCTTGTTCAAGAGAAAGGCAGGCGTGGCCCTTTGCTGTGTCATTCCATGACCCCTAGGTCCCTCGTGGCCTGCAGCATGGGCTGGAGGTACACCGTGCCCCACGGCTCCCGGGGCACCTGGGAACAGCAGTACCTGGAGGGCTTGGGTGCCTTCCAGTCCCGGGAAGCTGGCCAGGACAGGGCACTCAGGTCGGTTCCAGGGACTCGGGGCTCCTGTGGCCAAAACGGGAGCAACCTGGCTTCTCTCACAAGCGCCAGGGCCCGGGGTGTCACTGGCTTCTCCTGTGCCCTGGTCTTACCCTGAAGGCCCCCTTGTGCTGCACCTGTACTTGCACGTGGCCGTGTGTGGTGTGGACCCCCGTCCAGGCCGGGCCCAGGCCCCAGGTCCCCGCATCAGCCTCCTCCCCCTTGGCCCCTTGGCTTTCTCCTCCTGGCGTCTTTAGCACAGCTGGGGACCACAGCTGGTCTGTGGTGTCCAGAGAGGGACCTCGGCTTCGGCTTCCCAGGGGTGGAGAAGGGTGAGCCCAGGGGGAGGAGAAGCGGCTAGTGCAGGCCCGGGGCTGCGGCTGGGGCGGGTCGGGAGGGTGAGAAGCAGCCTGGTACTGCAGCCCACGGCCAGAGGCTCGCTCTGGCCACTCCCCCTGAACCAAGGGAGGAAGGTGCTAAAAAGCAGGAAAGGCGCCCTGGTGGGTACGGCCACCTGCAAAGTCCAGGGACCACCTTCCACCCTGTTTCCAGGTGCTGACACTAGCTTCCCAGCAGCTGGCCAGGCCCGCACCTTGTCAGGCTGTCCTGGCCGGCTGTGGTCTGGTGCCATTGCCTCAGGGTCGGTCAGGTGGGGCCTTGTCCATCACAAACCTGCGTGGTCTGGGGTAGTCCGACTCACACAGGTGTCTGTTTCCCTGGGAGCCTGAGGTGACTCAGACAAGGAGACAGATCCACGGGAGGCTCTTAGTTGCCCACTGGACATTCGCAGGCCCGAGGGAGGAGTCTGCAGTCCTTGTTACAGGTGGAGAAGCAGTGCCCACACAGGGTGCAGTCCTCTTGGGTCTGGGGGCTTGCCCTGGGGGGGCCACTGTGCTGGTTGGGTGTATGAGTTCTCATGGTCCCCTCTCAAGGACACAAGGGCCACGCCCTGCAGGGCTGTGGGGGAGGAACTCTCAGAGACTCAGAGTTAGGGGTGGCCAAGGCCTGTGGCCAGCAGAAAAAGGACGAGAGACCTGGGCAGGCCGCCGCCTGGAGAGGAGGGCCTGTGGTGCGCTGACCTGCAGGGGAGGGGCCCTGGAGCACGGCACTCTCCCAGGCCAGGCTGAGGCAGGGAGCGGCCACCCGCCAGGCAGGCAGCAGGGCCCGTTCTGGGAGGGCCCTGTGGTCTGGGGTCTTACGGGGTGTCTGCGTGTGGGTTTTGTTTCCAGGGCCTTGCAGATGAGAGACCCGTGGGGACCAAGGACCAGCTGGGGGCACAGCCCCCGCAGACCTCACCCGTGCCCCACCTGCAGCGGAAACTGGAGGCAGCGGCTAAGAAGATCCTGCGCCTCCGCCTGGAGAAGGAGCAGCTCCTGGAGATGGGGAACCGGCTCCGGGCAGAGCAGGGACACCCCAAAGGTGAGTCCCTGGAGCCAGGGCTGCCAGGACCGCTCCCTGCACACCTGTCAGAAGCCTGGGGTCAGCAGGGGGCCTGGCCTGGGCCTGGCGGGGAGGGAGAGGACCACAGAGTGGAGCAGTTAGAGGCCTCTGGCCTGGCGGACCCCGTCCAGGGGTAGGACGCATGGCCCCGCCTCTCAGGAATGGCACAGCAGCAGACCCCTGAGGGAGGGGAAGGCCAAGGAGGCTGGGACTACAGGACTCTGACACACATTGGTGGCACCAGGCCAGCTGGCGCAGAGGGCCGGGAGAAGCAGAGTCCCGTCCAGGGTCTCCCAGCCTGAGTGGGAGTCTCGCCCTGTGCGGGCTCACCACGGTCCTCAAGGGCTGCAGAGAGGGGTGCGGCGCAGTGCCCGCTGCAGCCTCCTCACTCACCTGCCCATGCCCTCGGGCGCATTTCAGCAAGGTGACGATTGTGAAGCTTTAAGCATCTGTGATGGCCCCAGAGGCCAGCTCTGGAGCGTCCACCATCTGGCCATGCCTTCTATCCATTGCCTGAACACTAGGAGCAGCTGGGGCCGGGACTAGGGTGACATACACCTGCTGCAGACGGGAAACTCCAGGCAGTGTGCCCTTAGCAGCTGGCAGCAGTGGGGCATGGTGGCCTTGCAATTCAGGAGGCCAAGGCAGGAGGACCCCGAGTTCTGAGCCAGCCTCAACAACTTAGCGATGCCCAGCCTGAGAATAATAAAAAGGGCTGGGGACGTGGCCCAGTGGTGAAGTGCCCCCCCAAAACCTGGGAGCCTCAAGCACGGTAAAGGGTCCAGCAGGAGTAGCACTTGGCCTGCCCCAGCTGGAGAGCTCTTTAGAAGGCGCCATGGGGCTGGGGCGCAGCCGAGTGGCAGAGAACTTGCCTCGGGTCCCTGAGGCCCTGGCTTCAGTCTCCAGCAGCACAGTGGGAGGAAGAGAAGAAGGAAGGTAGGAAGACCATCTGAGGGAAGGGGGTCAGGGTGCTGTGCCTCGTCCTCCAGGCTCTGCCTGGGGCTGGCTGCCCGGTGACAGTTGGGTTTTCGCATGTCCTTCTGTGGCTTCTGAAGACACCTGGCAGAGGGGGAGGAGGAGAAACAGCCCCGGGCGCAGGGCCGCAGAGCTCCCGGGAGCGTGGGCTCCTGGAGGAGGTCTGAGTGGAGCAGAGGTGTCCACACTTCCACACCAGAGCACACTGGGGTCTCACCTGTGGTCAGCCCCACTGTTCTGAGACCAGGTCAGCCTGCCCCTCTGGGGTATTTGAAAGTCATTATCGAAGTGGCTTTGTCCTGAGAACCAGCCCCTGAAAGAGGAGCAGTAAACAGACCTTAGCGGCAGGTGTCGGGAGATGCGGACTGGTGGACACTGACCATGGTCCACCCTCGCTGCCCCCTCGGGGCACCTAGGAGTGCAGGGAATAGGCTGGGGACAGTGTGGGCAGGAGGCCCTCCCCCACACCAACGCCTTCCCCTCGGGCACTTTCTGCAGTTCACAGGGAAGTGGCTTCTCTTTGGCCCAGCCTCTTTCCATTTTATCTTGAGAGAGGATTTTGTAAGTTTCCTGGCCTGGCCTCAGACTTGCCTCCTGAGGGCTGGGCTTGCCGGGTGGACGCACCCTGGCTCCTCCTGTCCCTTACCGTTGCCAGCAGTGGGTTTAGCAGTTAGCGCTCCCTCGCCTCTTTCCATTCTGGGCTGTCCTCTTGTAAAATGAGACGGCCCTCCCCCATCAGGTGTGAGGCCCCTGCCTTGGCCTCTGCACCAGCCTCTGCCAGCTTGGCCACAGTGTCCTGGTTGACCATCCCTTCCAGTGAATCTGTCTTCCTGCTCCCGTGGCTTCCTACAGCCCGCTGAGCCGCACAGCCTGTGTTTGAGCAAGTACCTGTTCTGCTCTCCCTCCGCCCACCCGCCTGCCCACATCCCAGGGTGCAGTCCCTGCGTGGAGCCAGAGTCTGCATGCAGGGCCGAGGGGAGCCACGGTCTGCTCCCGCTGCAGAGCCCAGGGCAGTGCGCACCTCTGCGCCTCCTCCGCGGGCTGCTGGCCTCTGCCTCTGGACCGTGCCCGCGTGTGGCTTTGTTGTTTTCTTCTGTGGGGGTTCAGCTTGGCCGTACTCACTCCACTGGAAGACCACCCCCACCCACAGCCTGTGCTCCTTCCCTTCCTTCTGGGCCGTGCTCCCTCGTCACCTGTGAGCCTCTCCCTGTTCCTCTTCTCTTGTTTAATGAGCCGGAATTCACTTCAGCATGTGCTGCGAGGGCCCTGGGCCAGGGGCCATTTCATCTGAGTGTCTCTAAGGAAGAGGCAACTGGGGACACTCCCACACCTGACCTCAAGGAGCCCAGGGGGGGGGGGGGGGGGGGGCTGGGAGGTGCCAGGAGTCCCTGGGCCCCGCCCGCCCGTCCCCTGGCCTCTCAGAGGAGAAAGCCGAGGCGGCCTGGAGCACAGGTCGGCACTCACCCAGCACACGAGGCCTGGCCATCCCCAGCACCACCGGGAGAAGGGTGACGGTGGGGACGCGACATGACGCGACGCGGTGGAGGCCTTTCCAGAGGGCACTTTAGGGCTCCGACCCCGTCTGGTTCTTCTGGAACACTGCTTAGAGACCTGAGTCTGGGGTGGGCACAGAGCTCCCTCCCAGTGCTGCTGCCTGGGGAGAGGGAGGGGCTGTGTGCCTCAGGAACCCCTCCCCCAGGGCCTGCAGGCCCTGCAAGGCCCCTTCCCACCAGGCACCGCCCCACTGTGGGCTGAGGCTTTTGCTGGGCCTGCTCCTCCTCCCCACAGCTCCTCCTCCTCACTGCTGCCTCCAGGCAGCGTGTCTCTGGCCAGGCAGGCCTGTGTGTCAGAACGGGGATGGCCGTCAGGGTCCGTGGGCCCACAGGAGCCACGGGAGGGCTGGGCAGGAGCGGCCAGTTCTTGGGTTTGGAGGGAGACAGTGGGCAGAGAACAGAGGACGTGGGACTCTGCTCACCCCCTGCCCTCCTGCCCCCCAGCCGAGCGCCTGGTCCTGGCAGCAGGGCTGGGCCAGGCTGGTCTCTGCATCTCCACTGGTTCCTAGGCCACCGCCACCGTGGGGCCACAGTCATTAAGTGGAGTGGAGTGACCAGCTGTGACAGATTCCTGGTCATGGTTCACAGTTTCAGAATGAGACCTGTCCTGCCCGCAGCCGAGCTCGCCTGCTGTCGGCAGCTGTCCGCCGGCACCCCAGCCACCTCCCGGTGGTCCCCACGTGTGACCTGCAGCCCCTGCCTTGGAGCGGCCCCACCAGTCTGCCCACTGGCCACAGTGCGCCTTCAACCCGAGAGCCTCGCCCGCTCTGTGGGGCTCACGCCTGCCCAGTGCACCCTGTCAGGCCAAAAAGACTTTGATTTTCTCATCAAAAAAAGGATGATTTCTCATTGTAAAGATGTAAAACCGTGCTGGGTATGATGGTCCACTTCGGGAGGCCGAAGCAGCAGGATCACAAGTTCAAGCCCAGCCTGGGCAATTCAGCATGACCCTGTCTCAAAGTAAAGAGGGCTGGGGTCAGGGCTCAGTGGGAGAGCAGGCACCGGGTTCAAGCCTCAGCACCACATACAAAAATAAACACAAATAAAAAGGCTGGGATCTGGCCTTGTGGTAGAGCACCCTGGGTTTAATCCCCAGTGCCAGAAAACCATTGATTTTTTTAAACAGTGCTGAAAAGTACACAGAAAATCAAAAATCGCTAATTAGAGTGAGTTCACACTTTTGTGAAAAGGCTCGGCACCTCTGTCCTTTGACTCTGTTCACACTCACGCACGTGCCCTGGCCCGGGCACCCAGGTGTGTGTGCGTGCCTGCTCACACACCTCCACGGCCATGTGCACAGCCTCCCTCTCAGGTGCAGCCGACAGACAGGCCACGCATCCGCGAGCTCTTCTCCTTGGCCCACAGGTGCCGTCCCCTGCAGGTGTCTAGAGATGCTTACGGCAGCGAATGAAAACGCCTCTGACCACAGCCTCACGAGAACTAGGTAGCATCGAAAGTGTGATTTTTGCCCAGTCAAGATAGGTAAAAAGCCTGGGCACAGTGTGCGCCTACCTGGAAACCCCAGCAAAGCTGAAGAGGAGGATCTCGAGCTCAAGGCCAGGCTTAGCAACTTAATTCAGGGATCCAGCACCCCTGAGTCGAGTCCCCAGTACTGTAAAAGCTCTTTAAAGAATCCCTCTGCTTTAGTTTCCAGCATGATAAATAGCCGTGATCATAGTTCTCCCCCCGCAGTGAAAATAAGAACAAGAACTTCTTGGAGTCCTGAATTGATTCCTGGCTCTAGAAATGTCATTTCCATAGTGATTATGCAGTATGTCAGCTTAAAGAAACCTCTCGGAGATATCAGTTCATGGAAAGATGTCCACGTTGTGCCAGGGTGCAGGCAGGTGGGATGCTCAAGCACTTCCACAGCTGTCGTTTTTAAGCACATAGTTCACACTTTTGCTGCTGCTGCTGCTTCTTTTTTTTTTTTTTTTTTGACAGAGTTGTGCAGTGTTGCCCAGACTGGCCCCCAACTGGGGGCTCCACGGTCCTCCTGCCTCAGCCACCCACGCGGCTGGGCCCACAGGTGCGCAGCGGCCACTCGGGTCTCCCTGCGTGCTGCAGAGCAGGTCTGCCTTCGGTGCCGTTAACAGGCCCAGTCGGCTCTGCTGCCCGGAGGGAGCTCTGTGGTGCAGGGAGCCCGCGGGGGCTGTGTGTGACAGTCACACTGGCCCCGGCCCAGGTTCTCTGGTGTAGAGGTGACTTGGCTTTGAAGAGGAACGTGCTGTCCTTGAGTGTTTGTGTTCAGCAGGAAGCCATCCAGGAGTGACTGAAGCACAGAGCACAGACCCTTTCCTGGTCTCGTTTCCAGGGAGACCACCCTGTCCTCCCCGGCCTCCCACCCCCCAGGCCCAGGACCAGGGAAGGGCGCCCGAGGCGCTTTGGGACCACAGCCCACCTCTGGGACAGGTGAAGACCCACGCCACCTTTCAGGTAACTCTTCCAGTCCTGCTGCCTGCCGGAGGACTAAGGGGGACAGGAGAGGCCTCTGTTCCCAGCAGGCACCCACGGCTGCCAAAGGCACGTCGAGGTGCTGTCGGTGGTTCTTTAAATCACTGTTTTTTCGTATATGCTTTATTATGATTTTGCCCACCTGGGTGTTATTTTTTTAAATCCTTGTCAATATAAGTTTAAAAATATGTATGTCTGTAGAGCTGTGAAATGTTCTTACGTTTTTAGGGCATTCAATGTCTCTAACATTTATTGGCCTTTATATTTCTTCTGAGTTATTTATGCATGTTTGAATTTTTCTACTGGTGTGTTTATTCTTGTTGGTTTGTAAGACTTCTTTATATATTAAGGCAATTGTTGCTTGTCTGTCACAACTCTTTCCAAATTTGTCATTTGTCTTTTAATTTCCTTTTTTAAAAAAATCCTCAGATAAACCAGACACTGTGGGGCATACCTGTGACTCCAGTGACTCTGGAGTCTTAGGCAGGAAAATCAAAAGTTCAAGACCAGCCTGGGCCATTTAGCAAGGCCCTGTCTCCAAACAAAAAGTAGGAAAGACTGGGGTGTGGCTCAGTGGAAAAGCACCCTGGGTTCAAGCCCCAGCTTAGAAAAAAAAAAATCCTTAAATAACTTGAAAACGTTTTTCAATCTAGTCAACTCACAGTCTAGTGGTTTATTTAACTGTTTTTCAACTTGGAAGGTTTGTTTCTATTGGAGTGAAGGCAGACAGCCACCATTTTTTCCGCGTTTTATTTTGTTAACCATCAGGGTGCCCTGTAAAGAACCACCCTCCTTTTTATTTCCCCTCTTCGCAGTACCATGAACTGCACCCAGGGGGCGCTCCACGGTGGTCTGCACCCCCAGTCCTTGCTGTGCTTTATTTTGAGGTCGGGTCTTGCTAAGTTGCCCAGGTCGGACTTGAGCTTGCCACCCTCCTGCCTCAGCTCCCGAGTCCCTGGGGTCACAGGTGTGTGCCACTGCCCCTGACTCATGTCCATCTTCCTAGGACAGGGCCAAGTGACAGTCTAGAGCTACTGGGCCGGCTCACACCCCCAAAGCACAGGGAGACCCTTCAGTTTGTTGCATGTGGGTGACTTTGAAGGTCAACAGGACAACATCTGTATTTTCTGCTCTTTTCAATATTATTATTTGAATATTAAATGTTTAAAAGAATTAATAGACTATTTCTCAGAGCAGTTTTAGTTTTATGGAAAAATTGGGTGAAAAGTGCCAAGTTCCTATAGCCCCCTTTCCAGTTGTGGGTCTTGCTTGGTGTGGTGCTTGTGTGGTGCTTGGTGTGGTGCTTGGTGTGGTGTTTGGTGTGAGCTTGCTGTGGTTCTTGGTGTGGTGCTGGTGTGATGCTTGGTGTGGTGTTTGGTGTGGTGCTTGGTGTGGTGCTGGTGTGGTGCTTGGTGTGGTGCTGGTGTGGTGCTTGGTGTGGTGCTGGTGTGGTGCTTGGTGTGGTGCTGGTGTGGTGCTTGGTGTGGTGCTTGGTGTGGTGCTTGGTGTGGTGCT